TAGCTGCTCTGCTAGTAGGTGGTGGGATCCATGTAGAGCTTCAGCAAAAGCTCGGTGGCGTAAACAGTGCTGGAGAAAACATCTGTGGCCTGGAGAGAGGAGGGGGTGAGCCCAAGCCACTGCCTGTGGCTGCCAAACCCTGCCTGCGAAGCCAGCACTTCCATATTAAATAGCCCCCAAAACATCTCTCTGCCCGCAGGGACCATTTCAAATACGAGCCAAGCTCCCCCCGCCGCAGTCGTTATCACGGGTCACTGCCCAGCACGGGAGGGTCCTGGCTGCATCCCAACACATCACGTACCCCACCGGCCCCTCGGAGCCCGGCACACACCGCTCACTCCCCTGCACAGAGCCTGGTCCCGCAGCCAGAGCTCTCGGAAACCTCCAAAGCTCATGACTGGGTTTCTTGACATTAGCCAGGCCTGGCTATATATTACTGGGATATATAATTAAGGCTCAGAGGTTTGCGTACAGTAGCTGGCTTGCGTAAGACAAGGAAATCAAGGAGTGTGACCAAGAGGGATTTTTCAATGTGAAAATTGCGTATTAAAAGGGTGCTTAAACTAGCTGTGCTAAAACCACGAGAGGGGAATGGGCTGCCATGGAAAGGACCAAACAATTGCATTCTAAGAATGATAATTATTGAATATGTGAAGGGATCTGAGGCTGAAATGCATTTCATCCAGGCCCTGGGCTGGTGCAGTCAGTGGCACGGGGGAGGACAGCAGACTGGCAGCCACCCCGAGAGGCTGCAGGGGCAGGACCCCCATCCCCTCCAGCCCTTCCCTCCTGGCCGTGGCACATCGGAGCGTGCCACCATGCCTCACCTCAAAAAAGGTACCCCAGCACAACTGGCAGCAGTAGCAGATCTCCACAGCCAGGAAGATGGCATTAAAGGAGATGATGCCGCTCATGAGCATCATGAATTTGCAGCTACACAACCTGTGCAGGGAGGCACAGAACTTGGTGTCCTTCCTCTTATGAGAAGCAACGGCAGAGCTGGAGGTAGCTCTTTCAGTTTGCTGCCTTTTTTTATTGGTTTTCCCATGACAGACCCCAGAAGCCAGACCCAGGTGGAGATCCCACTCCTGTCCGAGTCCTCTCTTCACCCAGGCTGAACTGAACCTAAACCAGCAGGTCCCACAGTTTAGGCATCACCTTGGGGGTAGCTCCACACCCAAAGGGCTTTGCTCCATGTGTACCTGAGCCAGCAGCACACCTTGCAACGGCCTCCAACAGATGCTGGAAGGATCTGGAAAGTAAGTAAAGGGTAAGGAAATTGGAGGTGACTCATCCATTCTGGGAAGGGTCTGGATACTCCATGTGCCACGTCCCCAATGGCTCCATGAAATAGGTGGGTGCTCCTTGCCTTCCCAAAGTGATCCATGGGTGGGAAGGCAAACTTGCTGTTTGACATCAGCACCTTCTGAGGTCACTTCCAGAAGAAGAAACCACACAGGCAAGCGCAGGGCCTAGGTCCCAGAGAGACAAAATTTCTGCATTAGCAGTATAACAAGCAGACGCTGATTATTCTTAATTTACTGATTTTGTGTTGCTGAGAGATTTAGGCATACACCCACTCCTACCTGGGGGAGGAGATGAGCTGGGATGATGCTGTGTGAGTGCTGGGCGCCATCCCTGCAGGCATCCTGGGGGAATGGTTCATCTCCGGAGCAGCCGGCGGTGAAACACTGCCAGCCCCACAGAGGAGCTTCATGCCATCGTGTCAGCCTGGCACTAGTGTCTCACAAAAAAAAAAAAAAAAAAGCCGAGTGCTTCTACGATAAGGTGTGCTTTTGAGCTTTAGGGGGGTAATCCTCCTTCGTGCACCCACCACTGGTTTGGAAAGGGTGCAGGAGCCCAAGCACAAACCTCTGCTCTTTTTGAGGACCCTTCCCGGGGCTCCAGCATCCCCACAGCCTGCATGGGCTGGCCTGGCTCTAACCAGAGGACCGCTGGCAGCCGTGCCTGGACTCTTTCCAAAGTTCATTTGCAAACGAGTTGTCAGTTCCTCACCAAAGGGTCCAACTCTGCAACAGATCTTTAGCACGAGCAGCGCTTACGTAAACACAGCTTTTGATGTCAGTGGGATAACTCACATCCACGTTTGCTTCTTGCCTTGGTTCTTTGGGAGAAAGAGTATTAACAATTGCCAATTTATTTCAATTACTCAGCATCTCTGTGCTTGCTAGTCTGGACGCTGTGCGAGCACTTGTTCCAGGACACACACGTTTGGCTAATCCCAAGTAAGCCACAAATATTTGTTTCTTGGAGCAAACAATTGTGAAAAACTGAAACTGGCTCATGCAGAAGAACTCATTAGCTTCAGTTAATTGGCAATGCCTTCATTAATGTGAGGCTGAAAAGGCCAGAGGAAATGCACACATCTATAGGAAGCTGCAGAAAATGTGAGGCTTTCAAAATTGCATTTTACATGTTTGAAAAGCAGTTGTGGACAAGGGAAAGGCAGAATGGGACTGGGGGCCTGGCAGGCTGCTAGGCTGAGCATGAAGGCAGTGCTGGAGCGGGGATCAGGGCAACCCCAGAAATTGTGCTCAGCACTGAAAACAGGGGATACTGCAAACACCCCTGACCTGGGGCCAAGTCATCTGGGGGATGTAAACCAAGGGAAAGCTCCAGTCCATTGGGATCTGCCCCACGGTTTTGCCGTGCTGAAGCCCCTGGGGCTTCAGGTGGGGCTAAGGCAGAGGCAGCGGCCACCAGCACAGCAGCCCAGACACATCCCAGGGGATGCTGTGATCCCTCCAGCCCCATCCTGGAGCTGGGGTTGTGCCACAGACAACAGGGAAGCATCTGAAAATTAACCATGCCAGTCTGTCCTTCCAGGCTCCAGAAGCAGCTGGGTGAGGACACAGCCTCATTAGCCTTCTAATGCCCAAACTGCTCCTGATGAGAGAGATTAATTAACAGAAATCCCACCTCTTCTTCAGCCACTTCACCACACCTCAGCCTCCACTCTGGGAAGCCGGGGGGAGGAGGAGGAAGGGCAGGAGGAATCCCAGCACAGTCAGACTGAGCCCTAACTCACAAAACCAAGACAGACTTTTGTTTTCTAACACGTTCCTGCAGAGCTGCCTGTGGGACCCCGTCCCCAGAGCCCTGGAGCGCATCCAATGCCAACGCCGCCCCTTTCAATATGATTTTTGCAGTTTACTGGACCTGAGCTCCCACTTTGGGGAAAGGAAAGGATTATTCACTGGCCTTGTTTCAGAGACAGTCCTGTGAAGGTGTGATCTCCAGCCTCACAGGACCCAAGCAGCAGTCCCAACCACATAGCATGCTGCAGGCATCTTTTCTACTCTGCTCTCTCAGCCTCGAGTTTTTGCTTTTTAATTTCCTGTGGCCACAGAGCACCTTTGGAGGGTCTCCCAGGGACAGCATTTCCCACATGCCACGGGCTGGGTTGGTGGGAAGACACATGGAATTAAATCGGTCTCAACGTGGGGAAGTTACCTGCAAGGAGAAAGCTGTTTCACGATGGATTAGCCAAATACTTCAAGCCACAATCAGCCTTAAAGCAAAAAACCCCCAAACACTCCAGGGGAATATTTAACCCAGTGGCTGCTAGCCATGAACCAAACCTGGCCGCCAACGGGGAAACGCAATTAGCTCACAGGAGCAGCACCGTCCCGCTTTGGGCTGCGACCTCGCAGGCACATGGGGCCCCCGAGGAGAAGCCGGCACAGAGGAAGAAGCCGAATTTTGGGCAGCTGCTCGAACCACATCCTCACAGAGCAGCACAGCTCGAGCGATGCCATCACCTGGAAAAGACCCAAACCCCGCACTCCGGCTACGTTTGTTCAGAGCGGAGTTGACGATGCTTTTCACAAGCAAAGGCGCCTTAGGCTGAGTTTCCTGGCCCAAATCCAGCACCTGTCACTAAATCCTTGCTATATAAATTTGTTGTGAAGTTCCAGCTCGGTCGGGGAGACTGTGCATCCCCTTGCCCGTGGCCCTCAGCACCTTGCACTCACCACACACCAGCAGCACGTGTGTGGGTGGAGAAGAGCTGGGGAGATGCAGGAGCACGGAAGGGCTACGAGCTGGCTGCTGTGGATTTAGGGAGCTACGTGAAGGGGGGTCAGGGCTCCTCAGCATCGCAGGGCTCCCCTGCCCACCTCTGTGGAGAGTGGTGAGTTGGGGATGCTGGGCGGGAGGTGGGAGTTCAACCGGTGTCTATTGCAGATTCGGGTTGCATTTCAGAAATGCTGGGAATCCCGTCCAAATAAAAAATAAAAAAAAAAAAAAAAAAGCAAACCAATAAAACCAACCCAAAGTAAAAGGTGCTTTTATAATGAAAGACATCCCTGGTGCCTGCAAGGTGAAATCAGAGCCCAGGAGAGTGCCATCGCTTCCCGAGCAATGCGGGGAACAACCAGCGGCAGCTGAACAAAACCCAAAACCACATGGGGCCGGAGGCAAAGGCACAGCCCGGGAACCCTGAAGGAACCTGGGGTGTGAGCAGCACGACAAACCTCTTCACGGCATCCACGGAACCAGGAGTCCACTTAGGAGACTGCCTCTGGAGTCAGCACTCGCTGGAAAAGAAAGCAAAAGCCGTTTATTCACTATTTTTATTTTTTTGTTATCAGTGTTGCACAGCAACGCTCACCAAGGGCACTCGAAGGTGTGTAGGATGCCCCAGAAGTTAACAAGAAATTATGGCTAAACAAGCACTGACCTAGAAACAATGAGTGTTTCAAAGCCATCCTCCTCTTTTCTGATTATTTTTGCCTCTTTGCCAGTCAGGGATCCTCAAACCGCCACGGCTGCACAGCTCTATGCCATAGCTGGACAGTGTAGCTCCCCATGCTAAATTAGTCGGTGGGGATTTTTTCCCTCGGAGTATGTAAATAAATATCAATATTCTAAACCAAAGACCTCCCAGTAGCTAAATATTATTTATCTTAAATTTATCTTAAAACTAAACAGCTTTGTCACATATGTACAATAATAAAGAAACAAATTCAAAAGAGGAATTTGATTTTATTGGTTTTATTCAAACTGCATGCGTTATATATCAATTTCTAACAACAGAGTTTTCACAGTTCATTAGAGATGTTGTCAAAACTTTGGGTGAAGCTTGTTTCACTTCGCCACCAGTAACAGGAGCCACCACAGCCTGGTTGGTTGTTTTAGCTTTATTAATTCCTCACAGCAGTGACCATTTTCAAACCATTTCAGGGAAATCCGCCGCTTCACTGGGGAGAGGCACTTGGAAGCAAAGAACATTTGAGCACGTAGTCTGAATTTGGGTCTTTTTAGGTATTAACTTGATATCCCAAGTATGGTTACCAACAATAAACCCCAACATCTTATCTTGTTTCCTGCGATCAATTAGTGCATGACAGCGCACTCGCTAAGGATTAACAAAAAATACCTTTCTCATTTTATTGACATGAATACTTGCATGGCAGCTAGTGGCATTTTGCATCCCAAATATCTGAGAGACCACACACCTCGCTTATACAGCTGATATAGATTTTGGCACTCGAGTATCTCACATCTCGGTAGCTGGTAGCTGTGCCGCCGGTGTCATTCGAGCAATGCACTCAGGCATTTCGGAGGTGTCAATCTCCCGGGAGCTCCGCACCCAGAGCTGCTCGCAGGGCATGACGGTGCACGCTGGGGACACTCAGCAGCAGGATTGCAGAGCGAGAGGCCCTTCTGCAAGAGCCTTAAGCAGGTTGAAATCTCCCTGCCGGCAGTGGAAATCTGTCTCGGTGAGGATCACAGGATAAAAACAAAGACTTTGAAACCACAGAAGAAATTATTTTAAACCTCGTCAGTGGGATCTCCAGCTCTTGGAACAATGTTTGCAATGAGTAATTGTAGCTACAAGAAAAAAAAAAAAAAAAAAAAAAGGGTGAGCATAGCTTCAGCTGAGCCCAGCTTAGCAAGAATCTTGCTAATGCCGCTTCCTTCACCGCCGGCAGCTCTGGCCGGTGCTCTGGGCCCCCAGCCAAGCTGCCCCCCGATCCGGCAGGTATGGGAGCATCACAACCCAAATAACAGCTCAATCCTGCAAGATGCTGAGGACCGACCCGGCCCAGCCAAGCACTTAAGCGCATGCTTCATTTAATGATATGAGTGCTGGGAGCTCGCTGGGATTTTTTTTTTTTTGTATTTGCTGGACCAGAGCTAAAATTTTCAGCAACTGCAGGACACAGTCCTGCACCTCAGACGGGGAACAGTTCTCAAGCATGCAGTAACGCTTTTGTTGGATATAGCTGCTGGGTTGCGGGTGCCAAAAGGGCAGATGGATTGAAAGAGCTGTCAGACAAGGACAGAAAAAACACCGAAATGCAAAGCTACAACTGCTAGCTGAGCTGCAACTCCACAGAAGCAGCAGCAGCAGCGTGCACGGCTCTCACCAGCATCCCTTGGACTGGTCACTGGCAGAGATGGAGGTACCACACCAGAGGGGACTGACACGGCTGGGCTGCTCTGACATTGTTCAAAGTGCAGAGATGTACAAATTACAGGAGGGAAGTGGCAAGAACGGTGCAGCGTCCCACGGCAGCTGCCACCATCCTCAGCTCCCACGGGCTCGAGGAACACAGACACGTGCAGGTGGACTCCTGTTTTCATTTCAGCTTGGTTTAGTTTCTAGAAAAAGACTGCTGAAAACTTACTTGGTTTATCTGCTACATCCTCACACAGAGACAGCGATGGCAAAGGACAAGCACAGGCATCCAGAGGGGTCTCAAGATTAAGGTCATAAAGGCCAACAAAGCTAAACCACTCTTTTTACAAAGTATCTTGTTTCAGGGGTTTTGTGAAAACAGGATTACAAGGAAAGAGGGATACCATTTAAATACAAAATATTGGTGGACACTGTATTAAAGCATTTTACATCCCAGTTACACTGAGGCAGCAGCTTTGTCAATAAACTGAGCCAGCTTCACATCTCTCTTGGTCAGTCCACCGCAGTCATGGGAAATCAGAGTTATCTGAACCTGTCAGAAAGGAAAAGAAAGGGGTTACAAAGCCTTTTTGATCTCTGCCGGGCAAACTGAGCAGCAATTCAACGCAAACATCACATGTCCCTGTAGTGAACTGGTTTTACACGATGCTCCAGGCGAGCTGGGCACTCACTGCTCACGTAAACCAGAAGACGTTGTAGGTGAGGAGGCTTAACAGAGCCTGAAGTCTAACCAAAGCGAGCCCCTTCGCAGAATGAAACAGGCTTTGCATTCTTGGGTTTCATCCAAGAAGAGATGTCCAATTAAATAACTCATTCTTTACATTTAAATTCCACGGATCAGTTTCATGAAGAACCTGGGCCAGTGACCAAGCTGCCAACAGCCAAGTCAGGGGCTCATGCATTTTGTTAAAAACCAGCACCCTGAAGGTGAAAAAATTGCTAAGCTTGTTGCAGATTAATTTCAAAAAGAAAAACAAACGGACTGGTGCATTTTGCTATGACACAGCTGCCTGCACGGGTTTGTTTAGACTAAGCCAGATGACAAGTTGGGCGTTACTTTGTCTTGCCTTTGACTGAGATTTTGGGGAGAGAGAAGAGGAAAAAAAAGATAAATTCTGAATATTCTGGAAAGCCAAGAAAATCATGAAGACTAGGTGATCAGGACTTTGTCCGGTGATCATTTAATGTCCCCTTAAACACAGTGACCTAAAGGGGTGATGAGGAAGAGCCTGTGCTGCGATACCTCTGTTATGGGGGAGAGGTGGGGATGTCCTGCTCTGGGGGTGGTGGTTCCCAGCTGCAGGCTGCTTGTCCATATGTCCTTTTAGTATATTTTTAGTGGGATTGCCATGTATTCACCAATTGCTAAAACAAACAACTCGATACAATGCAATGAGAAGCATTAGAAAAGGAAAATATGGGGAGAGCAATAATTTCCCCCTTCACACAGCACCTTTCATTCAGGGGTTGCAGTATACCTTGTAACCCTTGTAAATACAAGACCACCATCAGTTAGGTAATATTATGAATAAATTTTATAAGCTGCTATGCTGAGACATAGGACCCTACAATTTTAAAAAAATCAAACCTAAATTGAGACTGTCAGGCTCCCATTTAGGCACCTACACAACAACAGTCTGCTACCCTACACCGCTGGGCTCCTGACTTGCTGCACAGAAAGGAATGAGACTCAGTGAGTAGTTTCAAAACAGTAATTTATTCAGGTTGGCTAAATAAGAGTTTATAGGCTTCATTTTTATTTTTAGATCTCAGCCAGTGAGGTGAAGCGACAGGTCCAAACCAACCAGCTGGCAGCAATTGCAAAGAGCTTGATCCTTAGTTCCCCACTGATACAAATATCTCAGCATCTCTTTAAAATCTCAAATCTCTTTATGAAGACACAACCTCTTTCCATTCCCTTATCTTGTATATAAGCTACAAAAAAAGGCAGAGAGAATAGGCCACTGGTCTGGTCTCCTTAACTTGCCATGCCTGTAACTAGGGCTGGTGAACACGGTTACCTTGCTGTAGACGTTAAACCATTCCGGGTGGTGATTCATCTTCTCTGCTTGTAGAGCAACGCGCGTCATAAATCCGAAAGCCTAAGGAGAGAAAAAGCAGAGGAAAATACTCCTCCACCTGCCAGGACTGGCAGCTGATCTGCAAGATTCACTCCAAAATCTCAAAAACTCCTGAAGATGCTCCAGATTGCTGCACCTTGGCTATGTGTGTGTTAAAGGAGCATTCTACCTTCTCATGCCACCAATGCATTTCCTGAGATGGCTGAAATCATCCCCCTCCGACCCCAGCAAATCACTCTGCTCAGTGCTACTCATTCTAGGATTCAAAGCCGTTGCATGAGAGGAATTATTTTATATTTGACATCCAACAGTGATTTTAAACATCCATCCCAAACCCCTCATCCCTTCCTGCATCTTAGAAATGCGCTATTTCTAATCAAGCGTCATGCCACAGTATTACTAATACTGCTTCCAGAAACACATCCTTTCATGTAATTATTTTGCTATTTATTTTACTGGGGGAGAAAGGCGGCAGGTGGGTTTGCCCCTCTCCTTTATGAGAAAATATTTTCCCTTAAAATGAGTTAAAATAGGTTTCTCAATCCTCTGCCCCTATATTCTGCACGGCATGCTCCCCCAGGACGCAGCTTTTATCACAGGCTCAAGAAGAAAATAATAGCAGGCCCTTGCCAAAATACTTAGGAGCAAATCACTGCATTATAAAGAAAATTAGAATGTCCATGTAAATCAAGAATGCAATTACATAGCGGGGCCCAAAGGGCCTCGGTGCATGAGCAGGACGCCTCTAAGTCAGTAGACTTTGTTCATACTGAGCTCCATCCATCGGGGTTCAGGGCCTGAATTAACATGCAAAGCTAAAGTAACATCCATGTTATAGTCTGGTTTGTATTATAATACAACAAGCTCAACAAAACTCTACCTGATTTAGGTAGTTTTTTAGTGCTAATTTATGGAAGAGAATGTATATAGCCCACATTCCACCAAGCGATGGCCATTTCAAACAAACATGTGGTCAATGAATAACATATAATGGTTGATAATAGTTTCAAGTCTTTTTTCCTCTCACAAATTACAAAAACCTTTAAGTAAAAAAAGAATTGGTGCCTGGATGAAGTATGACTTTGTTAGTCGCTTTGCCAGTCAAATGAATGCAAACGTTATAATCAGAGAAAATCATTCCAATGAGGTTTGTCATTTGGAAATCGCCAAACTGTCAGCAATTAAAAAGCTTTTTTCTTTGACCCAAGAGCATTCCAAAATTCAGGAAAATCTAACTTCCCTTGAAGCTCTCGCTTGGTTTAGTTTTACTTCGAGTGAACAATTACTTTTAAAAATTTGCAAATGTTTCAGCAGCACGCTTTGAAGCAGAAAGCTGCAAGTTGTGCATTAGATGTTAGCAATGATTTGGAAAACTTTGGTATTAATAGAGCTGAGTGATATTTGATTTAAATGTTTTTAGAGTGTCCATGGGTTTAATAGGAATGCTATTTCCAGTACAGCAATCTATACACAGAAATGTCCCCAAAAGTTTAAAACAGCAATGCATCTGCAACTCGATTGCCTTTGTACAAACAAACGGCAAGGGAAAAAATAGATTAAATTTATGAAAACCCCTACCAGGTTCATGTACCCTCTATCAGTGTCTGTCCATCCCAGGAACAAACCCACCTATGTATATACACAGGTTACATTACACAAACAAGTCACTGACTGTGTGACAATAATTGTTGCTCCAACGGAAAGCAGACAGAGCGAACTACGCAAGCAAATGAATCTATTAAATTAAACTGCTCTGCAGATCTTCCTTCACACTTCGTGATGACAAATCCTCTCCGATCAGTGGACCACCAAATCCTCCCGAACAATGGACCACCACAGCAACCCACTGCCTCCTCCCCTGCAGACATTAAAAAGTCTCCAGTGGATAAAATGGACACCGGCCTTAAAAACTGTTCATCTTCCTGAAGAGTACTCAACTTGGGGCTATGCGGGTCATGAAAAGGAATTAATTGTGGCGCAGAGGACCCTGCCCAGGACAGGTCCTGCTGCTCATTGCTCCAGCTGACCACGACTGGCCCAGCCAGGGCAATCTGGTGTTAGAGCGAAGGATGAAGCACACACACCCGCGAGCCACGCCCGCCTTCATGCATCCCTGCTCTGCTCAGAGGCGTTCTCCCTCATTGCACATTACCCAAAACAAAGTACTTCTTGCGTTTTAGTTTACTTTAATTGTACACAAAAAGTATCTCCCACTAAGAAAATGAGCTACGGTTCTACCAAGCAATTTCACCAACGCAATCTCCATTAAGGTCCTAAATACTTCCTTTGCTAATTAAATGAATTGGAATGCTATTGTTTATGAATCACCTTTATATTTGTAGAGCCATAACCTTTCTTAAGGAAAATACAATTGGCTCTGGAAGGAAAAGATATTTAGATTTGATTAGATATGAAAACACTATTACATAAAATCAGTTTGGACATTTCTTCACGTCTTGAAACTTGATCGGTAATTTGGTCTAATTGGTGATCAAGGAAACTATCTTGTGATCAATTAAAGTAATTACCACATTCCGGCAACGCAACCAACCTTAATTTGAGCAGCAGTCTGCACTTCTTCAACTTTAATTAAAAATAATGAAAATTATTATGCAGTCTGCAGTGCAAGATCATTGTCAAGACTGCATTGGTGGGCAGAGTTTAGCAGACCATCACACATTTCTTGATGAAAGTGGGACAAGTACTTTACTCATGACACTAAGATCGAACACAGTCTTGACTTTCACTATATTAATAACAGAGATCTGCAGCCCCTTGGCCACTAATGACAACTTTTTCAGATTTTTTCTTCAAAAATATAAAGAGAAGAAAGAAAGGATTTGTGCATTTTCTAGAAGCCATAAAGAAGTATCAAAACAGGTTTTGATGTATTAAATATCACAATACTTTATAATATTTCAGTAACAGGCATAATTAGGCAAACATTTTCAGCCTAATCATTTTAGGACATTTGGGCTAAAATAACATCCAGACATACAGGTTACTCTAAACAAGTACACTGTGTCACCCAAGTGATGGCAGACTTCAGAGTCCCTACAACAAAGAGTGACAGAAGCAGAAATGAGTGAAGAAAACCTGCACAGACAAGGAAATGCCTTGGGTACATCAGGATGTCTCTTCCCTTCATATCTTGTAAGATCATGAAAGAAGGAACTAAAAACTGACAGTGTTTCAGTCATAACATCACTTCTAAAATGTTTTTTTAAATACCAGCAGCCATATTATGTCTCAATAAGAATCAGGGCTATTCTTAGAAAAGTAAGTTTACCTAATAAAGTAAAAAAAAAAAAACCCAAACCAAACTTTAAAAAATTCAGCTATCACATAATGTTTTGGGACCAGCCAAACTGCTTTTGAAAGTGACAAAATACACTATCACAAAATAAGACTTAACACAACTTTTGTTGCCTGAGAATGGGAAAACCAGGGCCAGACACTTTGCTGTCAGAAGTGGGAGGAAAGATGAAATTCCATCCGCCCCTCTGCACCGCACAACGCTGCATGGCTCCAGGAGAATGGCGCAATCCCGGAGCTAATCTGCCATTATTCCTCCTTTCACACTTCTTAAGCAAGGAATCAATTCATCTTAATACTTTTTAAACATGCTGCTTTTGTACAATGCTTGCCAACATTATCTTGATGAGTTACACATCAAAGGAACACAGGTCGATATGTCGTGCTAATACATCATCCACCCGCGAGTCCCCAGTGATGGATTACCCTCGTGCATCTCCAGAACGAAGCAGCTGACAGTACTTGACTCAGAAGTGGAGATACTCAAGAAAAACAGCTGAAAGGCTCAACAATATAACCATACACACTTTTTATTTATTTGTTTTAAAATGTGTATGCTATGAAGTACATACCCAGGCTTCTCAAATCCTTCGGACCCTCAGCCAAGGAAACCATATGCTAATCACAAGTACATTAATGTTTCTGCCTCCCATCTGTCATTATAACTCTGGAGGTAGCGTTAACCTTGACCTTCTGCAGTGCGAGGGCTACCTGTCTTCCCTTCCCCACCCACCCGGGCTGCATCTGTATCATTTATCAGTGGGAAATGAATAAGGAAAACAAGTTATAGTGACATTGTCATACAAGGCAAGAGATGGCTACGCGTCACACATTTGTCTTCCATTCACCCAAGTGAAAAATACCCAGTATATTGCACGTGTTCTCCTTAGCGGATTGACACTTGTAACAGCAATAAACTCAAATCATTAAAGTTCCCTTCCAAACTGCAGAAGTTTTCACATATCCAGCTGACATTACTACCTAACAGTGAACTATGGGCCAGCAGATAAAAGGAAAAATCTCTTTAATGTCAAGCTATTTTAAATTATGTTTAGCTAGTCATGAATGTTTAACTTAATCTCATGACATTTTCTGTTGTGTTCTCAAGCAAAATGCAGGGTTTTATTTATTTTAATTCTATTTACTGCATTAAGACTTTTACCTTACAAATAGGCAAAAATCATCTCACGAGGCCACACTCTTCATCTGAAGGTGACAACATGGTTAAAACACAAAAAAAGAGGAATCCAACTAGTATTTAGGCGGCACAGGAGGACAGCTATTCATTCTCAAAACCATGTACCCATTTTGCGATTCTTCCCTGTTGGCATCATCAGCCTGCCTGAACCACCCCTGGGGACACTGGATCCATGTGGCATTAGATAATTTTTTTTGGCCTTGTCTGGATTCATCTGTGACATAAACCAGGGGAACACTTTTCCATTGCTCTTCCTCCTTTTTAATATCATTCCAAGAACAGCGGGACAGCCCTTAAGAATGCAACTAAATCATGTTCCAGAATTGAGCTAAACTCAGGTTATTCACGTCCCCATCTCTCCGGTGAGAGTGCAAACCACAGACAAGCCGGCTCAGGCGTTGTGCCCGCGTTTCCCTACTCCCTCCACCCCAGCCCATCCAGACATGGGCAGCCAGCAGGGTCTGAAGGTGAACAACACCTAACAAACCACTGGTAGAGATTTGGTTTT